GTCGAAGAGAACCTAAACGACGGAGATTTGGTTGCTGTGTGCAATGTTTTAGGTTTGAGTTACAACTACGCCGATCTGTTTCAACACATATTTATCAACTTGAAGAAGGGAAAATTGTTATGTTGTCAAGAGAACGACGATGATGTTGAATGCCGAGAACGACGATAATGACGAGTGCAGCGAAGATTATAACAAGCGCAACGACGGTGATTATGACAATAATGAAAATGATGAAACCATTGTATTTAACGACGTAGAAAACAATACTCTCAGAGGTGACGACGCTGCAAAGGAGAAACACAATGCTAACGCCGGCAGAGACAGAGTAGTAAGAAATCAAAACAAAAACAAAACCACGAGTTACTCAAAATGCACCAATACTTATGAACATAGGAACGTTAAACATCAGTTAGTTAAAGAAGGAAAAGCAAATTCTTTGAGCATGCAACGATTTGCAATAAACTACAGAGACATTGAAGAATCTATTCCCTCGTTTGACGGCGATGGTAATATGCCGATTGAATCATGGATAGAGGAGTTTGATGAAACTTAAACTATCATGGGTTTTGATGAATTTCAGAAGTTTATTTTCGCTAAAAAGTCGTTAAAAGGGATAGCTAGATTATTCATAACGAGTGAGCGAGGTATCACATCGTATGCAAAATTGACGAGAGCGTTGAGGAACGAATTTGGCGCAACTGTGAATAGTGCACAATTGCATAAAATGATGATAGAGCGCAAAATGAACAGAGGCGAATCAGTTCATGAATATTTTTTTAATACGAAAAAATTAGCCTCACGTGGAAATATTGATGAAAGTACCCTGATGGAATATGTTATCGACGGCATAAATGATTTAACTATAAACAAATCCATTTTATACGGCGCTACAAATTTAGACAATTTTAAAATGAAATTGAAGTGTTATGAGACTATGGTAAAGAAAACGACTACGCAAAAACATGCAGGATTTGCATCAAATAAACCAAAGAACGACGTTAAGGGGAAATCTTGTTTTAACTGTGGCAAAAATGGTCATGAGTCTAGAAACTGTAAGGACAAAGATAAAGGTATGAAATGTTTTGGCTGCAACAAATTTGGCCACATATCTAAAGACTGTCCAGCTAAACAAGAAATAGCAAACGTTCGCCAGCTAGTAACAATAAAACGAAATCCCATGGAGTTTGATGTACAATTTTTAAGTCAACAACCGTTTACTGCAAGAACATTGTTCGATACGGGAAGTAAATTTAATATAATATCTTATGATACTTACAAGAAGCTGAATGAACCGAAACTTCCCAAATCTGATTTTTACCTTGTTGGTTTTGGTAACCAAAATAAAATTTAGCCGCTTGGAAATTTTGAGCAAAATATTAAAATCAACGACGACAATTATGCTTTGACTCTACATGTTGTTCCACCCAATTTAATTGACGTAGACCTAATTTTGGGCAATGAATTTTGTGATTTTGCTGAAATAAGTATTTCACCCGATGGTTTGAAAATACGGAAATTACTAAGTGAAGCCGACGAAGAAATCCACAAAATTATGCTTTTGAACACATTAGAGGATGGTAACGTGAGCAAAATCGACATTGAAGAGAGCGCTAGTGATAAGGCTAAGCTGGAAGTACAGAAATTGATAGAACGCTATCAACCAGCTAAATCAAAAACTACAAATGTCGAAATGAAAATTATTCTTAAGGACGAAACACCAGTCCACAGTGCACCAAGACGTTTGCCAATTTCTGAAAGAAATATTGTTGACCTCCAAGTGGAAAACTGGTTACAAGACGGTATAATTGAACCATCCGAGTCCGAATACCGCAGTCCAGTGGTTTTAGTCAAAAAAAACAAAATGGTGAACCGAGATTTCCGCAAGATAAATAAGATGATGGTGGAAGATAGGTATCCATTGCCGTTGACTCCAAGACGCCAACATATTTTCTACGATTGATCTCAAGAATGGATTTTTTCACGTGGCTGTTGAGGCATCAAGCAGGAAATATACCTCTTTTGTAACACATAGTGGGCAATATCAATTTTTGAAAGTTCCATTTGGTTTATGCAACTCACCCAGAGTGTTCCAGCGCCATGTCAACGCAATATTTCGTGACCTGACTAGAAAAGGCATAGCATTACCGTACGTAGATGACATAATATTCACTGCTAGAGATGAAAATGAAGCAGTCAAAAATCTACAACTTGTTTTAAAACTTTGCGAAGAATATGGTTTGGAGATTAATTTGAGGAAGTGCCATTTTTTAAAGAGGAAAATACAGTTCCTTGGGTATGTAATTGAAAATAAACAGATTGCACCCTCTCCTGATAAGATCGAGGCTCTGGTAAAATTTCCTGTCCCGAAGAATTTAAAGCAACTGGAAAGCTTTCTGGGTTTAGCGAGTTATTTCCGTAAGTTCATACCTAATTTTTCAATTGTTGCTAAACCGCTAACCGACCTCAAGAAACAAAACTGCAAATTTGAGATGAAGGATGCACAGATTGTCGCAGTTAACCAGCTAAAATCCATTATGAGTCAGCAACCAGTATTAAAAATTTATCAACAAAACTATGAAACCGAAGTTCATACCGATGCATCAATGGAAGGGTACGGCGCAGTCCTATTACAAAAGTCTCCTGATGACGACCAGCTTCACCCAGTATACTACATGAGTAAAAAGACTACCGATCAAGAGAAAAAATATTCAAGTTATGAGTTAGAAATCCTTGCCGTTATCGAAGCGTTGAAGAAATTAAGAGTGTACTTGCTTGGGACACATTTTAAAATCGTAAGCGATTGCAACGCATTTACAAAGACGCTAGAGAAAAGAGACCTATGTACTCGTGTCGCGCGTTGGATACTTTTTCTTCAAGAATATAACTACACCGTGGAGCATCGACCAGGAAAACAAATGAGACATGTAGATGCACTTTCCCGTTATCCTGTCATGATTATTTCGAAAGAACATGGAATTGTCGAAAAAATTAAACGTTCTCAAGTGCAAGATGAAAACCTTTTAATCGTAATGGAAATATTAAAAACAACAAAAAGCTATAAAGACTACTTTCTCAAAGGTGAGATACTTTACAAAATTGTGAACGACAACTAACTTTTGGTGGTGCCGAAAGGTATTCAAAGATAAGTTATTCGACAAGCCCACGAGAATGGACACTGCTGTTAAAAAGACCAAAGATTTAATATGTCGTGATTATTACATTCCTAATCTTGAAGTTCCATATTTCCAACTGCGTTCCTTGTATTGTGATAGATAGAAAGAAAGGCAAGCAAGAAGGTGAACTTAATCCGTTGCCAAAAGAAGAAATCCACCCCCCTCAAGACATATCACATCGATTTCCTCGGACCACTGGAGTCTACTAACAAAAACTATAATCACGTATTTGCTGTTATAGACTCGTTTACCAAATTTTGTTGGTTGTACCCTACTAAGTCCACAACAGCAAAAGACGCCATAACCAAATTAAGCCTACAAAGCATCACATTTGGGAATCCTACTCAAATTATTTCCGACCGAGGAGCAGCATTTACTTCGACTGATTTCCAAAAATACTGTGAAGACGAAGGTATTCTACATTTGAACAACAGGTTTGCCAAGGGCTAATGGTCAAATTGAGAGGATGAATAGTATCATTGTTCCAGTATTAGCCAAGATGAGTATGGAAGATCCGACCAAATGATACAAGTATGTTGGAAAGGTCCAACAAATCCTAAACTCGACTTTCAACCGCAGTATCAATTCTACGCCGTTTGAAGTATTAATTGGTACTGAAATGCATAGCAAGGAAGACATCCGCATCAAAGAGCTGTTAGAGCAAGAAGTTGTTTCTAAATTTGATCATCAACGTACCGAAGCTAGACGAGAAGCTAAGCTAAGCATTTTTAAACTACAAGAAGAAAATAAGAAAACATACAACCTGAGACGTAAGCCAGCATGTCAATACAATTTCGGCGACATAGTTGCTATTAAAAGGACACAACTTGGAGGAGGACTTAAGCTTAGACCGAAGTATTTTGGTCCCTACCGTATAGCCAAAGTGAAGCCACAAAATACGTACGATGTTGTGAAAATAAGCGAAGTGGAAGGCCCTAAACAGACGACCACTTGCGCCGAGTTTATCAAGCCCTGGCCAGAAGAAGAAGATGACGGATTCGAGGCGAATCCAATGCAGGAAGGCCGAATTGTGGGAAAGAGAAAAAACACCTAGGCACGCTACCTCTTAAACCAGCCGGTCGTGTGCGCGCATCTCTCAAATAAATATTCTTTGAATTTGTATTTTCACTTTATTTTTTACATTCCAACATTAAATTTTTATAAATAAATCTATTTGAATTTTATCTAAAATCATATCTCTACACATATGTTAAATATTCGGCACTCAAAGTTTTTAACGGGTTCTACCTTCTGTGCCAGAATATTGTCTATGTAGGTAACGGTACCTCTACCCTAAATTCAGTACTTAGGGTTCGAAATGGGTTTTACCTCCTCCTTCCTCCTATATAATGACTGAAGACTGCTGAAATGTGTTCATTATTCATTTTATTGCTCATAAGGCGGTACCCCTTAATACTTGGTGATTTTAGCCATATTTTTAGCAGACGTTACGGCATTTTTAAGATTTTTCCAATCGATTTCACTACCAAAAAAGTGGTCCCAATATTAAATTCCTATCCCCTTGATGGAGGGTATTAAACGTGTTTTTACTTGTTTTTTAAATTTTTATTTGCAGAGAAAAATTTAAATATGTCTTATCTAGTATAGGTATATGAAATAATTTGATATTAATGCTGCAACATTTTACATTTTTTATTTCCCAATTCAAAAAGCCATTCACCGGCACCCATGATTTAACTACTGCAGTTTAAAATTTATCGTTCAATTTCAAAACGTGTTCAGAAATATTTGAATTTACACAATCCACCATTATTCACAACGTTTATGTATAAAAAGCTATAATTATATGTATCCTTTTATTTGCAGTGACCTCAAATCGGAATATAACATAAACCAAATCGGCACAAAAATAAGTACTTATCCTGAATTATTGAAGGGAATATATAACTTTCGTCCGTCTGTGTTTAGCAATTCCTATAAAACAAGTAAGTTCATATTTATATTTTGGCATATTTTTGTATTATAAGAGAGCATTGTTCGGAGAAACATTTTTGTTTAGCCCCAAAAAATTCTCTGTACAATGGACACAACATTACATTTTAAAACTAATGTACATGAAATGTGTGAATACTTTTTTTTTGGTTAAGAACAGGTTATTTAGCCTTGATCGCAAATAGCTCGAAGTGATTTCTAATCAACAAGTTGTACATACCCTGCGGGACATTTTTCAATCAATTAAGAAAATTGTTAGTTATAAATACATTATTCTACAACTAACTACAAATTGGTTGAAAAGTCATCTGGAGATCAAAAAGTTAAGTAACCATAACTGGTTTATCTCCGATGACTTTTCAACCAATTTGTAGTTAGAAAATCGTTATTTATAAATGCATTATTTTACAACTTTCTACAAATTGGTTGAAAAGTCATGAAGAACTACAGATAAAAAAGCTTTCTGCAAGATGGGTGCCGCATTTGTTAAGAGTCGATCAAAAACGCATAAGAATGAACACTTCATAAGCTTGTTTGGATCGTTTTAAGCTAATTAAAATTGATTTTAAGCGTCGTTTCATAACATGGATCCACCACTATATTTACATAAAAAAGGTTTATCGGGACAAGAAATTCATAATGATATGCTGAATGTGTTAAGTGAAAGTGCTCCTTCATATGCAACTGTACAAAATTGGGTTGCTGAATTTAAACGTGGTCGTACAACCATTAAAATTGAAGCGTGTAGGGGACGTCCAAAAAAGCAACAACAACAGGAATTGTAGCCAAAGTGCATGATATGGTATTAAATGATCGACGAATAAAAGTGCGGGAAATTGCTAATACCATGGGTATCTTAAATGAAGAACTACATATGAAAAAGCTTTCTGCAAGATGGGTGCCGCATTCGTTAATAGTCGATCAAAAAAGAATAAGAATGAACAAGCTTGTTTGGATCGTTGTAAGCGAAATAAAATTGGTTTTAAGCGTCGTTTCATAACTGTTGATAGGACATGGATTCACCACTATACTCCAGAGACAAAAGAACAATCCAAACAATGGACTAAAGCTGGAGAAAGTGCCCCAAAGAAGAAAAAATTCAATAGGCTAGTAAGGTTAAGCAACGGGGTTTTGGGACTTCAAAGGTATTTTATTGATATCTGCAAAAGAGTAAAACAATAAATTCAGAGTACTATTGCAACCTTTGGATCAATTAAATGTACAAATTCGAGAAAAACGTCCTGGCTTACAACACAAAAAATAATTTTTCATTAAGACAACACACCACCGCACAATAGTGTTTTAACCAGGGTTGGGCATAATGCACTAAATTTTTAGTGCACTAAAAATTAAATAATTTGTGGTAGTGCTATTAAAATGACACTATATATAAGTACTATATTAGATAACATGAAGTTTACTGTAGTGAATAGCGAACATCAATTTTGAATTACATACTCGTAAAATTTTATTATTTTTTCAATAGCACTTATTTAGTGCAATTTTTTATGAAATACCACTAATTTAGTGCACATTTTTTTATAAATACCACTAAATTTAGTGGTAGTGCTATTGAAATGTCACTACCACTAAAATTTAGTGTTAGTGCCACTTTTTTTAAATATCACTAAATAGTTATTGGTAGTGCAATTTAATTTTGACTACTACTAACACTTTAGTGGTAGTGAAATAAAAATTGCACTACCACTAAATGAATAGTGATAGTGAAATTATTAGTGCACCAAAAATATAGTACATTATGTCCATCTTTGGTTTTAACAATGTCTAAAATCAACGAATTACAGTAAGAGTTGCTTGACCACCCACCTTATTCTCCTGATTAAGCTCCCAGTGTCATTTACTCGTTCCCAAGTCTAAAAAATTCCTTGCTGGCAAGCTTTTTTTCTCAAATGAAGATGCAATTACAGTTGTAAACCACTATTTTTAAGACTATTTTAATCAAGGTATAGAATTGCTAGAAAAGCGTTGGACTAAGTGTATTGAAGTTTCAGGAGATAATATAAAAAATAAAAAAATTTAAAAAACTAATTATTTTCTTTCATTGATAGGCTAAGAAGTGTCCGAACCGCCCTCGTATAGTACACAGCCCTTAAAGTGATTTAGTGATTCTGTATCGGAGCACAAATATAATCGTACTGTATCGCAGACGAAGCAGTAAAAATTTCGCAAACATTTGAAAAAATAACGAGTGTGCTTTTCATTATTTTTTTTGAGAATAATATGAGATGTTTAATTTTATTTTAGTAACAAACGTAAGAACAACTTAATGGAAATCTGTAATTATGGTTTTTTTGTGCAAATATTTTACCTACTACTTTTTGGTATCAAAAAACATGTAGTTGTAAAGTACGGCGGTGCGTATTTTCCAACCATTTTCTAAAACTTTTTAGGTTTTTAAAAATTCATGTATATAAACAATTCTATTTTCCTAAGTACGAAACAAAACCGATATTAAGATAACGGGACTTGTTTTGTATTTGTACTGCTTGTTTAGATGAGTGGAAACAAAACAAAACTGAAAAACAATATTAAGAACGAAAACTATAAATATATTATATATCTCGCACAGCAACCGTTTGGAAACGTTTGCAGGCGATTCGTTCGCAATCGATATAGCCCGGCAACTCACATCCGAAGAACCATAACTGGTATATATATATATATATATATATATATATATATATATATATATATATATATATATATATATATATATATATATATATATATATATATATACACATATGGCCAAAATAATAAGTACACCGTGTTTTATGTTCATCGTCGCAACGTACGTTAAGTTTTTTAAGTAAAATATGGCAACTTTGCCACATTTCCAAACATATATATGGCAACTTTGAATCAACAAGTGAACAAATGCAAAAATCCCGTTACTTTTTGTTTCTGTGTTATTTTTGTGCTAAAGTTCGTATTTTGGCTGGCCAAAATAATAAGTACATTTTCGATTTTTCAATATTTACCTCTTGCTGAGTGCATTTTAATAAAGGTTTGTTATTTAACTACTTGTGCTTATCAAAATTAAAACAAATTGCACCACAATTTTATTGATAGATGGGTCGAAATAAGCACTGTTCTCCAGAAGAAAGGAGACTAGTGACAAAATGGAAGAAAGAGGGAAAAAGCCTAAGAACCATAGCAAAATCACTTGATAGATCAGTGTGTTTTGTCCAAAATGCGTTGAAACCCAAAAAAAATAAAGAAACACGCGGTAGGCCAAAAAAGACATCGCATATAACGGATTGCCATATTGTCACCCTCGCAAAAAGATATCCCTTTATATCCTCTCGGGAAATTTCTGCGGACATATGCAATGTGATATCCACTCGAACTATTCGGAGAAGACTTGCAGATGCCAAATTGCCAGGACGAATAGCCAGAAAGGTTCCACTGCTTCGTAAAAAAAATTTGAAGATGAGGTTATCTTTCGCAAGAGAACATTTGGGTTGGTGCGGATCCGTACATGAAAAAAAATGGCGAAATATCCTATGGAGCGATGAAACCAAAATAAATTTATTTGGAAATGATAATGGAAGGAACGTTCGTCGCCCCAAAGGAAAAGAATTTCATGTTCGGTTTACAAAAAAGACAGTCAAACATGGGGGTGGAAGCATAATGGTATGGGGCTGCTTTTCTTGGAATGGCGTTGGTCCAATATATCGTATTACTGATACAATGACCAGATTCGAGTACAAAAATATATTGGAGACTATAATGTTACCATATGCTGAAGAAAATATGCCACTTCTATGGGTGTTTCAACAGGACAACGATCCGAAACACACATCCCGCTATGTCAAAGATTGGTTTCAGCAAAATAAAATAAAACTCCTAGACTGGCCTAGCCAGTCTCCTGACCTCAATCCCATAGAAAACCTTTGGGGAGATTTAAAAAAACGCATTAGTACACAATCGTTCCAAAATAAAGACCAACTTTGGGATTTTGTACAAAAAGCTTGGTATGAAATACCTATTGATACCTGCCGTAAGCTTGTAAGTAGTATGCCAAAAAGAATACAGAAGGTCGTAGCAAATAAAGGTGGATATACTGGATACTAATGTTATAAGCAATACTGATAAAAATTAAACCTAAAAATTTCGAATTTATTTGTTTTATTTTATGTTTTACGGAATGTACTTATTATTTTGTCCACTGTTTTTTGTCCACAATTCTTATTAATACATGAAAAAGTTAATTTATCTCGAAAACTCCTGCAATACTTATTGTAATAAGTTGGCTTTATGTTGTAAGAATGGAATAAAAAAATTTGCTTTGCATTACATTAAATACATTATTTTAATTTACCTGAACATATACAAACAAACTGATGTACTTATTATTTTGGCCATATGTGTATATATATATACTCCCCTCGTATTAATCGACCGTGGCGTGTATTAAAGCCTTGGACAAGCAAACATTTGGGCCAAAATATCGTAGAACAACATTCGGGCAGCGTGTGACGGTTTCATTGCCCGTTTGAAGGCCATAATTCGTGCCAAAGGTGACCAATTCGAACAAATTTAAACTTATTCTAAAATTTGATGCTATTTCCGACATTTTTAGTTTTCTTTCAATAAAATTAAAAAAAATGTAAAAATTATATTGTTGTAGTCTTTTTATCTCATCCTGTATATCCACTGGTGTAGAAAAACAAAGATTATCAAAATTAAATTGTGATGATTCACCTATTTCAACTCCACTACATCTGCATTTTAAACAACATTTTCGATCTTGTGGGAAAAGTTTGATAATTCCTGCTAAGCCAAGTTTCAGTTAATTTAATTATATGCGCCAATTGTTTCTAAAAATGATACAGTAAATAACAATACAATGATACAGTAAATACACGATCTTGTCGGAAAAGTTTGATAATTCCTGCTAGCCAAGTTTCAGTTAATTTAATTATATGCGCCAATTGTTTAAAAATGATACAGTAAATAACAATACACAGCAAACGACCCACGTAAACAACACAGTATTTTATGTAACATTGCCTTCGCACTGCCATTTGCCATAAATATAAACTATATGGATATCACATCATATACATTATTTTGATATTTGATCACTAGGCACGTCTCGCATATATCTCACGTATGCTTATCGCTATGAAAGTACGGTCTTTTTAAGGTATCCACGCTGAGCATTTCTGACGAGCCGCTTACGGCGAAATGCGTCGTATAGTGGTGAGTATGTGAATATATCTCTCTGCCTTTTATTTTCACTTAAATTTCCGATCGATATGCTCTCTTTGAAAGAGAAATAAACAAATAAAAACATATCACTGAAATATACTCAAAGTGTGTAACATTTTAAAAACCTCCAGTTTCGTAAAAAATGAATTTTAAGTAATCTCTTTAAATTTAAAATGAAGCAGAGCACAAAAAGTAATTTACATAAACAATAATTTGCAAAGGAATTAACAGATATCATTGTTAAGTTTTTGTGCAAGATAAAAAACGTTTTGCGGTATTTAAGTGCTTAAAATAGCACAGCAGCTACGGCTTAACTAGGTTTTTAGCCCACAATCGCAAACACGCATAAAATGCGATAGAAATTATTTGTTTTCATAAATTTGATGTATTTATTCAAAGGCAAAGTGCAAACATTGTCAAAGACTTCTAGTAACAACAAATTTCAAATTTCAAACCCACCTCTCTAATAGGAATTTTTTAACAGAATGAATCACTGTACATAGCTATAATAGCTGACCACAAGGGAGTTCGGGTTCTTAGGCCAAACCATGGCAGAAGAATACAGGTAGATGCATCAACGCTTGGGAGCATTGATATGTCAAAAAAAATTAAATGTTTTTTCAAATATAAGTAGATTTTTATATGTTTTCTTATACTACGTTATTCGGAGGCTATTATAATTCGCGTTTTTTCAACAATTTTTACAAATTTAAATAGTTTTTCATTCAACATTTTCAATTTCAAAATTGGTTTGACAGTTCATTGTCCCAGCAGCTGTGTCGACGCGTCGACCTATATTCTTCTACCATGGGCCAAACATTGTAAATCCAATTAATCGGGTTTAGGTTTTGTTCGATCAAAAAATTGATCGATTTTGGGGTTTTTCATTTGTTCGATTAAGAGTCTTAAATTGCTCTAATAATTCGATTAATCGAATAAATCGAATGAATCGAACAACTCGAATAATTACTGTATACCTTACGTGAAACAAAAAAAGTTTAGTGTTGGTGTGAAAATTTATTTACAAAAAACATCAAAATTATATTAAAACACAAACAAACAGTCGCTCATCGACATCTGTTGACACTAGACTGTTTGTTCGCGCTGGTCGCTTTTTTATTTCAAAACAAAAACAAATAAACAAATACCGCTAACACACACACAAACATAAGTTATTGATACCGAGTTTTTTCCTTTTTTTCTTTGTAAAATCCCATACACAAAGATAAAATAATTTTTTAATATTTGCACAATGGGGGGAGTAGGGGAACCTCCTCCTCCGCCTATACCACCTCCTCCACCGGGGGAACAAAATAAAAGAAGAGCTCCAAGTATTTCTAATGAAACAAAAACATTTAAAACCCATAATGGAACACCTGTTAAAGCATCTAACACAAACACAGAACCCACAACAAATAATGAAATATCAAATCAATACAATTACAACTCTTTAAACAAGGAAACCATTTTATATCCGACATATCACCCTGGCCCTTTCCATGTATTAGTCTCCTCAGAAACACCAATCAGTACAAGGAGGAAGAATTGTGAATTACATCTTTATGCAAGATTCCAAAAGATTAACATCACTGATTATGCTTGCAAGAATATTGGCTACAATCTTTTTAGATTAACTTTCAACAATGCTAGCTCGGCAAACTCTTTTGCAACAAATCCAAATTTAAAAGTAATTGATCTCAAAGCGTTTATCCCAGAAAGATTTGTGCAACGATTTTATATAATCAAAAACGTACCAACAAGCATTAATGCCATTACAATTAAGCAACAAATTGAAGCAAATAATGATATGGACGTTGTCTCAGTATACCGCTTTACAAGAAAAACTGAAAATAACAAAATTGAACATTCCGAAACTATTAAAATCGGTATAATTTACGATGGTGTACCCACCGAAATATTCATGTGCGGTACAAAAATCTCACCAGAGCTGTATGTGCCTCCTGTTCGTCTGTGCTTAAACTGCGGACGTCTAGGACACATATCGATTCGTTGCAGGTCGACGAAAAAATGTTTAAACTGTGGTAAATTTATCATATGCCCTAATCAATGCCCAAAAGAGCAAAAATGTCGAGAATGTCTATCAACTACAACATGTAAAGATGTATGCAACTCTCCACGATGTATTCTTTGCAATAGTATTGACCACTTTGCAACTGATTCAAAACAGTGTCCAAGATGGAAATCAGAAGGAAACATAAGAAGTATAATGGCCCTTTCCAATCTATCAAGAAAAGAAGTCGTTCAAAAATACCCTGAAGCCCAAAACCGTTTCCAAATACTTTCAGAAGATGAATTTAACACTGCCTTTCCCCCTCTTAATAAGAATAAAACTCCAAAAAGAAGCGTTTATGAGGAGATAAATAAAAGAGTCACAAAATTAAAATACAGCAAAGTTGCGTCACCTAGAAATCCAATTCATCACGTCACAGCCAGTCCGATTCAAATAACATCGTCTCAACCAATTTTCCAACAAGCAAGTTTTTCAAAAGTATCTGAAATAGAAAAAACATTAACACAGTTTGCCAAAGAAATGTCAAAAGTCCTTACCTCACTAAATAGTGCCGAAGGTTTAAATATATTAAATAAATTCCAGCAATCACTGCTCCCGTCTGGATTAAACAACGCATCTATTAACATCAATAATACACTCAAAATAAATAATACAGAATCTGAAAGTTCACAATAAAAACTATAATTAAAAAATATGAACTTATTACAATATAATGTGCAAAGTCTAAAGAAAAATAAGAATTTTCTAGAATTCTTTCTTAAAAAGCAAAAAATAGACATATGTATTCTGAGTGAAATATTTAATATAGACGAAAGTCAAAATTCTTCATCTATACAAAACTATAATATAATCTCCAAAAAAAGAAGTGACAACTATGGTGGAGTTGCCCTACTATTCAAAAAAAAATATACAGTTCAAAAAGATCCCTTTCGAAACACCTTTGGATATTCTCATCTGCCAAACCACAAATTTAACAAACAATTTAACTCTGGTATCCATATATTTCCCACACTCAGTGAGATGTGCAACAATAAAAAAAGAACTAGCTAAATTAATATTACTGCTTGATAACCAAATCAACACTTTTATATGTGGCGACTTCAATGCTAGACATACAGCTTACGGTGATTCTTTTATCTCACAGCGGGGAAAAACAATAAAAGAGATCTTTGATGCCTCCAATTTTCAATGCCTAAACAATGGTAACTATACTTTTAAAAAAAATATAAATGATCTGGGTGGATCTGTTTTAGACCTATCCTTCACCAACACAATCTTGCCAATACAATGGAACACTTTTAGAAACATGATCGGTGGAAGCCATCACTACCCTGTAATTTTGAATATAAACAAAACAAAGTCCAAAGGACAAATTTTTTTGGCAAAAAAACAATTAATGAGAAATCTTGGTCAGATACAACTAAACAAAAACTTTGAAGATATACAATCTGCGATAAAAGGCGAAATCAGAAAATCTACATATGTTTTAAAAGGAAATAAAACACCAAAAGCTTGGTGGGATTCTTATGTGGAAAAACAATATAGACTTCAACTAGCTGCTCAAAAAACATATGACTTATGTAGCAATGATGTCAACGCAAAAAATCTAATTGAAAAGATAAAAAACTTCAAAAATGCAGTACAATTTGCCAAAAAACACACCTTCAAAAAAAAAAGATACAAAATCTAAATAAAGAACCCAGCTCAAAACATCTTTTTCAATTTGTTCGAGGGTGCAAAAACAGTTTATCATCAAATGTTAAAGGCAAATGGTCTCCAAACAACAATAAACTATTTCTATCTCATCTAAAAGACCAAGTAACGGACAACAATCCATTAAATTATGTCTGTAAATCTGTTAATAATCGATCCGTTTTCACAATGGAAGAATTTTTACTGGTGTTAAAAAATAAGAAGAAACCCTCTGCTGCTGGCCCAGACGGCATAACTTATGAAATGATAAATCATCTATCTGACTCTGCAAAGACCAACTTTTTTGAAGCATTAAACTATTCTTGGAAGAAATGTGAAATCAGAGATGAATGGAGGAAAATAAAAATTGTCCCAATACCGAAAAAGGGCAAAGATCTAGAATTGTTCACAAATTTTAGACCCATTGCTCTAATATCTGTCCCGTTTAAAATAATAAACTTAATGGTAAAAGAGCGTTTGCAACAATTCATTGATGAAGAAAATATTTTGCCAACAAATACTTTTGCATATAGAAAACATCTGTCAACTTCAATGTGTATTAACAATTTACTGTACACCATAAACTACTACAAAAGCAAAGGTGAGAAAGTTATAATTCTATCTCTAGACGTTGAAAAAGCATATGATTGTGTCAGAATAGAAATGCTTCTCAAAATACTATGTGAAATTAACTGTCCGACAGATATCGCTGATTGGATCATAAATTTTCTAAGCAAAAGAACCATCGTAATGGGAAATGAATCAATTGAAATCTACAACGGGCTACCACAAGGCAGTTGTCTAAGTCCCCTTCCTTTTAATATATATACCCTTGGTCTACATGGGATATCTGATGAAAACACGCATTTGTTTCAATTTGCAGATGATTTTGTATTACTATCAGCTCATAAGCATTTCGAATTGGCTAATCAAAATTTGCAACAAAAAGCCATCGAACTTCAATTTCTATTATCCCGCCTGAACCTCACCTACAACACTAATAAAACGTCCGTTATGTATATAGCTAAAGGTCCGCGAAAAATACCATCCATCGCCTTACAAGGTACCCAAATTACACCTGTCAGCAGCATAAAGTTTTTAGGAAGACACATTAAAAACAGCTTATCCCTGAAAGAGCATTATGAGGAAGTTATTCACTCATGCAATTCTTCATTGAATGCAATAAAAATGATCAACAATTTAAAACATGGTTTACTTCCAAATATATCAATAAATCTAGCCAAATCACTAGTCTTCTCGAAAACAGAGTATTGTATTTCTTCAATGGCTCATATGCCAACGTATTTGAACAAAAAGCTTACAACTTTTCAAAATCAGATGTTAAGAAGAAGTCTTGGTCTAACACCGTCAACACCTGTGCAGGCAATCTACGCACTAGCTGTGATGTTACCACCAGAACAACGATCTCAGTATCTTACCGCAAAGGAATTAATAAAATTTAAGTGTCACAACCGACAGTTATACCAAAATATTACAAACAACCCTACCAACAAGACCAGTTTGGGTTTAATCTACATGAAATTTAAACACATTTTCGACGAAACTATAGTGAATCAGAGAGAATATCCCAGCAGTAAATTCACTTTCTTCTTAAACTTATTTAACTCTACAAAAAATACACAACCCAATGAATTTTATAGAGTAATATTGCAAGAAAAAACTGAACGACTTCAAAACACAGGACACACGATATGGGCAACCGATGCCTCGATTTCCAGTACTACGACTGGTTGTGCAATATGCAATATCTCAAAAAATCAAAACTTCTTATTCAAAATACCGGCAAAAATGTCATCACTTATGGGAGAATTACACGCCATCAATAAGGCAATAGACATAATGATAGAAGACAACATCAGAAAAGCCACCATTCTTACCGATAGTAAAAATGCATGTCTAATTTTAAAACAAAATGATACCCAAAACTACCTGGCCAACAATATTCTACAAAAGGTAAACAACTCAAGTCTAACACAACTCACCATCATCTGGATTCCCTCGCATATAGGCATTGCTGCTAATGAACGTGCAGACTTTTTCGCCAAACATGCAGCTGAAGTCGGTTCAATCATACAAACAGGCCTGTCGATAAAAGATGCTCGCTCCCTAATCCACCAACATCTATGGAGTGAATGGAAGGAGAATTATAAACATATTTCAATCAGTAAAGGCACTTACTTCTCACAATTCTTCCCAGAGCCACCAAACCGCCATTGGTTTTCAGGATTCAACATGTCACCTGGAGAAATTAAGGTTATAAACAGACTTCTCACTGGTCATACATATGGAAAAACTTACCTGTCCCTCATCAATGCTGAAAACTCCAACCTATGCGAAATATGCAACACGCCAAACACGGAAAACCACCAGATTTTTATCTGCCCTAAATACAATAATGACAGAATGAATTACAATTTCTTTACAAAATTTTCAAACTTACCTGCAGTACTCAAAAGTTTTGCCTGTGAAAACTTTCGTGAATTGTGCGACTTCATTCATAAAAACCACATACAGCTATAACCCGGAATCACATCACTCATATCACAACACTACAAGAACAAAAAGAAATGGAAAACAACAAGGAACTCAAAATAATTATCGATAACTAACAATCGACTACACAGCAATGGTACATGCATACTACAGGTATCGTACCAACCTCGTCGTGACGGCGTAATCAATAACCGATTCCAAAAAAAAAAAAAAAAAAACACAAACAAACATAAAATAATAATTCAAGTGAATTCAACAACGTTTAACAAAAATAATTAGGTAAATATGAAATGAGATCTTGTTTATTTAAAATGCTTTTAGTCAGATCTTTTAAAATAATGCTTTAAAAACAATATGCATTTTTATATATATTTTGTCATAGGCCCAGTTGTGACTTTAGCAGATGGTGCTTCATCTATAATAGTATTATGCACTTGACGCAAATGACAAATAAGCGTAGAAGTGGAGGCACATACAATTTTGTAATCTTTGGAACATTTGTTGCATTTTGTATTGTTTCCATCTTTTAGAAAAAGTTGCCCAAACAAACTCATTCTTAAAGAAAAAACTATTTTTATTTGTATCATTTTTTGTATGTCATATTAAAAACTTTGACAAAGTGGTTTGCTTAACAAATGTTTAAATTAAATTTATATTTATTTCATATAGAAATTCTCACTTTTCTTCAAGTGAATGTGCGTCATGAAATTTAACCATAAATTTATATGTAAACAAAACACAAACACTTGATCAAAAAATCAGAAATCAAAAATGTATTAAAAATATTTTAGATCGATTAATCGGTTAAAATTAATCGATTATTCAATATTCGAAATTTAGTAATTTTTCTTCATCGAAAAAATATTCGAAAAAAAATTTTCCGATTAATTGAACAACGATTAATCGATTGGACATTCTAGTAAAGACACTATAGTTTTTATCATATATAGTACCATAAAATTTTACAGAAATCTTTGCATTACATCCAGAATATTTGCTACAGAATATGGGTCATATTGGTCCACTTTGAGGAATAGACAGGAAGGAGCGTTTCGATGCAATATTGACAATATTCTCCAGATTAACAAATAAGCCCCAATAGTACAAAAAGCCCAAAGGATCCTGACGCCATGACCCATGTTGGTACCATTTCGTGTATTGGGTTAAGGTCTACGGATAGGCTTTGATTCATGATGCTGGTTAGGAACGAAGGGAGTACTTGTACGCCAGAACTTGTCATACTCCGATACCTCTTATTATTGATTGTCAAGGATTCATTTTCCATTTGTAGAATGAAGGAGACTTCAAGCTGCTGTTAAAGTTATCCAGGAATAGCGTCTTTAAGTAGTTCGACACTTGAATCTGCACTTGTTACTGGGCGGCAAGCTGTTTACCAACCTTCAGGAGTCGTCGCAGGCAATATTTTTCTGGCAACTGATTAATCATTTCCTTTTTACATACCATAGCGTTGGTTAGAGAATACATTTGTCCTTACCACCATAAATTTTGGGTTTATTCATCAGTATCGTCTTATAATCCAGGTCCAATTTTTGAAAGTTTTCTAAAACTGGTAGTATAATCAGGTAGTTGAATCTAGACTCTTCAACCTACGGCAACCACAATACATAGAGCAATCGTGTGTCAATCGTGAATATAGAATCTTCTAATAAGGTAAGGTTTTACCACTTTATAAATTGATTACCAAATCCCATAATATATAACTTTTTATACCCTCCACCATAGTATGGAGGGTATATTAACAGCCTGTTCCACGATCTCGAAAGAAAATTTGTGCGAACGAAGGCTACTCACTCACTTTCGTATAAGAATGCGTTCCACTAACTTTTGTTCTTTCTTTCGCATAGCCTTACGTGATTCAGTGTTGCTAAATATTTTTTTTTGGAAAAATTAATCGCGAAATAAGGCAAAAAAGCGCCAAATGTCTAATTTAAACGCGAAAAAGCAGCAGTGGCTCTGTCTCAACTGACATTTCAGTTGTAAACAAACAAATTGTAAATAAACAAACAAAAAAAATTTCTAGTGATTGTGTTCAAACTATTTGTGCTCTTAGAAAATAAAAAAAGGAATATTTCCGTAGCCCTATTTTATATGGATGATGTGGAGGAGGTTCAAAATGTGCCACGGAGGCATTTAAGAGATGCTTCGAATTTATTTGAAGTACCTAACAACCAGTAAGTATGATTGTATTTTTACATTTTTGAAATAATAAAAAATGATTTTTTTTAGGTTTGTGGCCAATTTTCGTGTGTCGAAGGAAGTTTTCGGTTTTTTTTGGATATGATGGAAGAGAAGTGGGTGCCCGGTTGCAGAACTACCCAAATCCGCCCCGATTTAAAACTTCTGCTGCTTCCAAAAATTGGTACTCCTCTGGCGAACACAGGATTCTCCTCCATATACTCAACTAGTGCCCGCAGCTGTGTAGTTGATGATTTTTTCGTGCTGGAATTGAGAAAATAAAAAAAATATATATTTGTTGTTCACATATTAAATTGCATTTATTATTTTTACTTACATTTTTGTTTCCATTTTCAATCAAGCAATGTTTATGTTAAAAAAATTTTCCTTAATTGTTATTATACGATAGCAAACACACAAGTGACTGATTTTGACATTTTGACAGAAAAAAGATAGTGGAACGCAAAATTACACTGAAATGCTTACGTTTTCGTTCGCTTTGATTTTCGTGCAAATTTTCGTTCTGATGGATTTTAGTGGAACAGAAATCAGCTGTTTGTCGTGTAAAAGTTGTGCGAATGTGTTCTTTCGATATCGTGGAACTGGCTGTAAGTTTGTCATTTCGTTTGTAACAACTCGAAATATACATTTTAGACATTTTACATTTTAGTATTATAGTCTTGATCAGCATAAAATTCTATGTCGATTAAGCGACGTCCGTCCGTCTATCCGTCTATGGAAATCACTCTAGCTTCCGAACGAATTGAAGTACATTGTTAAAATTTTACTTGAATGTATTTTATGTCTGCAGGAATTTTGGTATTGAAAATGGGTCATGTGATCGACGTTTTGGTATAACGCCCAAATAACGGTACCTCCTGATATTCGATATTTTGATGATTTTAGCGACATTATTCACCGGGATTCTTTCAAATTTGGTATTTGATGGTAGTAATGGATGCTACAGCCTATGAAAGGAGATTGTCTATGCAGGTCCACGTTATAGCCCCCATATAACGGTACCTCCCGATATTCGATATTTTAATGATTTTAGCGACATTATTCACCGGAATTGTTTCAAATTTGGTATTTGAAGTTCGTAATGGATACTACAGCCTAAGACAGAAAATTGTCTGTACAGGTCCACGTCTTCGTATAGCCCCCATATAACGGTACCTCCCGATATTCGGTATTTTGATGATTTTAGCTACATTATTACCGATTTTTTTTTTAATTTTGCATTTCAATATTGTAATGGCTTATGACAGGTCCATGTCGTCGTATAGACCCTAATATAACAGCTACATTCGATATTTTTATAATTTTAACAGAATTTTTAACGGATTTTATTGTTTTTGAGAATTTTTACATTTTCAACAATCAACTATGATTCACTTTAGTATAAATGCAATCTGTCTGAAGACGATATCTGAATAATTCATTTACATTGACCCTACTTCCTTTGAGGGATCTTCATAAAATCACATTCTGAGTCGGTTTATACGTTTCAGTAAGTCTGACCATCTGCTCATGTATTTTTATGAACAAAATGCATATCGCATTTATTGTCCAATTGAGATAAAATAACCATAACGTAATGTTTCATTTATTTCATGAAACTGTTTCATTAAATTCGAGCACAATTTGAAATGTAACAATTATTACAATTTTACCTCTAATTGTAAATACTTTGGTTCAGTATTTGTTTGTATATGATATGTTTCATTTCTATGTTCACAAATTTTACTGAATTTTGTAAAAATAAGTAATTTCGTAACATTAATGAAATCCATTTCATATATTCAATGATACCAAAAATCATTGAATTTTAAAGCAACGTAAATTTTCATTGCATGAACAAAACATTTATTATATTAATGAAGCTTTTCATTACGTCAATGAAAAAAAAATCAATGAAACCGGTTCATTGATACATCAAAGCATTTTTATTTCAGTTTACTGGTGACATTGTCAAACAAAACAATTTTACTAAAGATGCTCGCTGCAGGGTATTGATCGATTTATACTAAATCCATATTAATATTTCGACATGGATGAAACTTGAAATGATAATGAATCTATTATGAGTTATTTAAATAATTTGAAATAGCGTTCAGTTTAGCAATGCCTGTATAATTAGAAACTTCAGTTTTACTGATTTGAATAATAGTACAATAAATGGCTCCTCCATTGATTTCATAGATTTAGTAACCATAGGGAAAAGGGCGATTATCAGCATAGAATGCATGCAGGACTCCATCCCGATCAGGAGAAGTTACATTTTCAAACTGTTTAAAACTGTTGCAACGTTGAGAGATGGAATGTATTAAAATCTGTATGAATAGAATCGAACAGAAAAAAATGTTGATATTAAGTGTATAAACTCAATAGAAGGTAATAGAGCGTATTTTCGAATTAACCCATATTATCAGAATTAATTGCTTAATACGGATCCAACCAACCAGATTTACCCCTCGAAAATAAATAACAAAAACTACGCAAAAATAATTTCCCACCTACTCCAATTTATGTAATAACAATTAAGTCACAACAGCCCAGTAATGTAATTACGCATTAAGGAACTTATTCACAAATACAAAAATTAAAAAAACTGAAAAAGTAATATAATCTACCAAATTCCCTGTGGTTGCAACATAAATGAAGACTAAGATAAAATAAATGTTGAAAACATGATAAACAAACAAAAAAACAAAAGCTTCACTGCGCAACAAAAATGTGACATTACCAGCCTGTTTTTGTAACTATATTTTTGCCAATCGTTCGCAAATTTGTCGTCTAAAAAAATATTTGGCTTTTTGAAGCAAATGCTTCTTATGGTTTTATGGATAGGAAGATACCTACCGTTTTCAACAGAAATTGGCCGTGTGATTACGCCAAATTTGTATGCGTATGATGTGGAATTAACATTAACATTTCACTCGCGCATTTTGCAGGTCCATATTATTCAAATGTTTTCTTTGTGCATTTGTTTCTAACATGGAGAAGAAACCGAGATAGACTCACGATTACTTCTGAGGATCTTCATATAATCACTTTCTGAGTCGATTTATGCATGTCTGTCTGTTCGCCCGTCTGTCGCATTTATTATCCGATTGAGATGAAATTTTCCAAACAATATTTGTTTGGCGCAAGGACTAATCCTATTGAAATTTGTGAAAATCGGTTCAAATTTAGATATAGCTCTCATATATATCTTCAACCGATTTCGGGTAAATTGTGCAACAAATAGTCAACATCAATCTAAATGACCAAATGAATTTTAGTATTAGAAGCAAGTACATCAAATTTGCAGAAAATTGGCACTCCACAAGAAAGCTTACTTATTTAGCTCAAAAAATATTCTGCTCCAATAAAATTTTGTTAATATAATTATATTATAATTATTTGGTTCATAGTTCGTATGATCTACTTCACATAAACTTACAATTTTTTTAATTTTATTGAATGAAAGCAAAAAATGTCGGAAATAGCATTAAATTTTAGAATAAATTTAGATTTGTTCAAATTGGTCACCTTTGGCACGAATTGTGGCTTTCAAATGACCAAATTAACCGTCACACGCTGCCAGAATATTGTTCTGTGGTATTTTAGCTTTTTAGAGGAACCTTATTTTGTAACCATTCTTGGGTGGCGCGTGCTGAGTGTGATGGTGCTGAGTCCTGTTGGAATGTCAAGGTCTGCGGCCGAAATGTTTGCGTGCACAAGGCTTTAATACACCCTCCAGAATATTTTCGCGATAATATTCGGCATTTATTCTGATGCCACGGTCGATTAATACGAGCGGAGAGTGATCGGCTTTTATGTCGGTCCACACCATCACCATGGCCGGCGCTTGGGTTCTGGTGCCCAACCGAAGGTGCACATTTTCGGCTGACCTCTTTGGCAAGTAAAAAGGATAATTTTGTTTGTTTACAAACTGCTGGACAACGAACGTTTTTCTCATCGGAGAAAACCAAATTCGGCAGTTCACCACTTTCGGCCAAGCGAAGCAACTCTAGCTCTTTTTAGTCTATTTTCTTTCTGTTGCGGTGTAAGTTCTTCTATTTGCCGAATGGAATATTGCGATATGTTCAGCTCACGAGCCATTTTTCGGCAACTGCGACGCGGGTTTCGATCAAGTCGCTTTTTTACTTTTCGAACCTTTTCTGCTGATGTTGCTGTTTTCTTCCTTCCACTTCCTTGACGTCGGGCTACGCTACCAGTATCACGGTAACGAGCGATGGTACGAGACACAAAAGATTTATTCATATTTAAATGCTGGAGTGCTCTAACGGTATCCATTTGTAGTTTTCCATCCAAATAAATATAAAGAAATCACACTATCACGCTTGAATACCAATTCGAATAACTTTTTTCTGGAAAAATCTCACCTTAATGCTTTTGTACGCATGTAAACAATATAATGAGCTGTCACTGGAATAATTTTAACAGTTGTCCGACGAGTGGCTTAGAAATGACAGCAGTCTAAAGTTGGTTGCAGTTTTTTCATCATCACTATAACAAACTTTACACAATAGAGATACTGCATATTCTCAATGTTCAATTTCAGGATATACGAAGTAGTAGGATATACGAAGTCGTGGATCTGCATAGACAATTTTCTGTCTTAGGTTATAATATCCATTATAAATTTCAAGTATTAAATTTGAAACAATTCTGGTAAAATTATCAAAATACCGAATATTGAGAGATGCCGTTGTATGGGGCTATATGAAAACGTGGACCAACATGGCCCATTTACGAACTTAAGCCTACTGCATACACATGTGGGCAAAATTATAGTCTTCTATCATAA